GATCCTTTCGGGAAAGACCCTCCTTTTGAGATTCCAGATCTTACAGACTGTGGACGGAGTTTAGTAGAACATCTTCCTGGAAAGGAGGGCAGTCTTCCAAAAGAAACAGGAACAAACCTTCTGATGCTTCAAGATCTTCAAACAGACCTTTCTGAAGGTACAAGTAGGAAGTAGGAGACCATCTGGGAAGTCTGGGCTCAAGCAGAATAGGACTTTTGTGTCATCTCTACTCTCAAAGAAAGGCATCATCTGGAGTTTCAAGATTATCCCTCTCACAATTTTTTCATTAGTTTAGAAACTCAAATAAATCACCTCAAAAACAGGTGACATGCTCTCTTTGAAAAACCCATTGACCTTGTTAACTCTGTTGATGTCTATTCTGCAAGAATTCTGTGAAATTGCATTCTATAAGTAAAATACAGATAAAACACAAGCTCTACAATTTTTAGTATCATGGTATGAGTTAAACACTATGAAAGAACTGTATGACTTCAACTAGAGGAACTCTTATATTTCTTATCTGGGCATTAACTTGGGCAAGAGCCTGTCCAAGATGCATATGTATAACTTAGGTAAGATCTGGTCCGAGCTTAGGGAAGGTTCACTCTGCCCTTATAGCATTTATTTGGAACAAAAACCAAGTAGGATTAAATTATCCATTTTACAAAAGCTCAGGATTAGTAGAGGTATGGATTTGCCAAACCTTATCCATTATTATTATTATGTGACCAATGCCGCAATGGCAATCAAATGTAATTTGGATAACGTCCAACCCAAGTGGCTTGAGATGAAGGCAAATAGAATTCTCCCTTATTTAATTCAAGAATTACTGTGGCTGCCTCCTTCTCAGCGCCCGCAATTGGCAGGGATGTTTCCCTCTACTAACATGACCCTTAAGGCATGGAATCTTTTATACAAGGAAATCCAGCCTAATGCCACTTGGTCCAGAGCTACGCCCCTGACTGCATTATGTTTTCCTTGCCTGATTTGGATGTTGAAAAGTGGCTTTCCCATTCGATTTCCCACATTGATGATTTGTTTTCATCAAATAACTTGTTCTTACATTTTAATCAATTTAGAGAGAAATTCGCCCTAAGCATGTTTGATGCCCGCATGCATGAGAGATTGGTAACATCTATTAAAGAACATTTTGGTGTTTCCGACCGGGGTCCGAATGAGAAGAAATTGGAAATGTCAAAATTAGAAAAAGTCCATGTGCCGGAAACATACCATCTCTTTCTGTTACACTGTTTTTGCAAGTGAAATAGGTCCCAAGTTGGACTATATGTTTAAGAAGGAGAGTGAACTGGGTGGGGTATACACAATAGATGAGTGGCATGACTTCCTTCTCATGCTTAAAGGCATTACACAATGTGTTAACCATCTAGAGTCTCATTATAAATTAATATACAGGTGGTACCTAACTCCATCTAGGCTTTGTAAATTACACCTTGGTACCACAAATAAATGTTGGATAGGCTGTGGCCTAATAGAGACTTTATCTCATATTTTCTGGTCATGCTCTAGGATTGTCCAATATTGGCAAAATATCCTTACATTAATCAATAGTATTACAGAATTCAACGTGGTTTTATCTCCAAGTCTCTGTCTATTTAAAAAAACTCCTTGCTAATTTACTGCACTTCTGATGTCAGCTACATCAACAATGCCAAAGTATTGGAAATCACCTGTTACAACATTGGATGAAGTTCTCTTAACGATTTTTGATAACAGATGCGCTTGGGATGATAAAATTAGGCTTCAGTACAAACTTTGACCAGGTTTCCCACATGACAAAATAAAATATTTTATTTTATTATAATAATTACCATGTATAATAGAATTTAAAAACATTAGTATACAAAAAACAGGCACTTATAAGAGACATTTCAATACTTCTTCAAAGCTAGTGCAAGAATAGGTTTGGGCCCCCCAATCGCAAAGGGTAACCGAAAGATAGATCTCTATCTGTCATGCCACTCCAACAATACTTTGACAGCTGTGGCGCTAATATTTGCCCATGCTTGCAGGGTTGTATTTAGCACTAAGCAGTGTTTGTGTGGTTGAATGTAAGCATGATTTTGTATAGAATATGTTTGTGTGTATGTAGGGGTGTGTTTGTTTGTGGTGTTGGTGTTTGAATGCAAGCATGTATTTATGTGTAGTGTTTGTTTTTGAATGCAGGGGTGTGTTCATTTCATTTTGGTGTTTAACATAGAGGTGTTTACATGCAGTGTTTCAAAGCAGAAGTGTGTTTGTATATAGTGCTGATTCTGAAGTGTGAATGCAGGGGTGTACTTATGTGTAGGGTTGGTGTTTTGAATACTGAGATGTATGCACATACACATACACTGCCACGCACACACTGTGATATACATACACACAGATAAACACACACACACACACACTGTAACACATGCAGATACACAGATATACACACTGACACTCACACTGACACGCATGCAGATACAGACTGACACAGATACACATACTGACACACATGCACATACAAACGCACACATTGACACACATGCAGATACACAGATAAATACACTGACTATTTACAGATACACAGGCAGATATACACACTGACACACACAGAAACACATACTAACAACATACAGACACACACTGAAGACATACTGACAGATACACACTGAAGACATACTGACAGATACACACTGACAGACACACTACACACACACAAACACTGACAGACATACTGACACACACACCGACAGACATATTGACACACAGACACACTGACATACATACTGACTCACATACAAGCGTTACACTTTTAAAGCCACCCTCCAGTTTCCTACCTTTTGTGTACATGAGGGTGGCTTCCCTGGGGAGTAGTGGCAGGTTGAGGTAGTTGGGAGTCAGAGACAGATACACTGACATACAGACACACTGACATACATACTAACAGACATATACAAAACACAACGAGGGAACCGGCTGATTGTCTAAATGAAGATAAATAAAAAGAGGTATAGTGTAATACAGTTTTACAATATTAACACTGCGCAATATAAAATGCACTCACAGGATATTGGACAGTTCAGGCATATATGGTGCCACCCCTGATGATATGGGGGGCTAGAGAAATCCCCTGGACACTTCCACTCAAAATGCAGGACTCCAGGTGAAGATATGAAAAAAGCGGCTTTAATTGTATAAAAATATAAAATAGATACAAATAAAGGTCCTACGCGTTTCGTCCCTTCTACAAAATATGGGACTTCCTCAGGGACCACAATATTAAAATAACAATCAATGCAGTACAATCACAAAAACAGCCTAACATCCCTCCACCCTCAAGTCCTTTAAATAGGGCTAATCCCTAAATGTAATTAATCACATGTGCCACTCTGTCCTCCCTCATTGGTCCTGTGTAGATGAGTTTCATCTGTTGAAGATCTTATTCCCAGGTGTTCACAGTTGATCTTCATCATTTCTGTAATTCTCCGGTTATTTTCGGCACTTCCGTGCGTTCCAAAAACCGGAAGTGCTATGCGTTCCAACTGTACTCGTAAACCCGGAAGTCATGTATATCCGGAAATGGCATGCGTTCCACCTTCGGTTTTTTTGCGTTCCATCAGTATTCTGCAATCTCTAGCCATAAAATTATATACAAATAGTCCAACAACTTAACCACAAATCTATTCATAGTGGATTTTCTCATAATATATACATATTTACTTTACACCATTTTCACAATACTTAGCAAATCACAAAATTTGTTACATATTATATATACTCATAATCTAATAATATGAAACTTTTATAAACTAATCCTTCATACCCATATTATTTCAATATCAGAATATTAACCTTTAACTTTTAATAAACATATTAATTTGTCATATGTGTTATCCTTCTTATAATCAATTCAATGGTGTCTTATTTGTTAATTATATTATTATTATTAATTAACCTAATTCATCCTTTATAATTCTGTGCTTATTTTATCATTAACTTTCTCAAAAATACCCATATGTATAATGACTATTATAAATAGTGATATACATTTATAGGAAACACACTAAGTCCACATCCACATTCAGTCCACCAGGCTCCAATGTCTGTAGCCTGTGGATCCAGTATGTCTCTCTTTGTGACAACTTTTTAACCCTATCTCCCCCTCTCCAATCCGCTAATACCCTTTCAATACCAATACACTTTAAACCGGTGAAGAAAAATAATGGACATTGATTGCAGTGTACTGGAATAGAATGAGTAGCCAAGTTCTTTTTGATATTATTTATATGTTCCAGAAATCGTACTTTCAAAAGCCTCTTTGTCCTGCCTACATATTGCTTGCCGCACAGGCACTGCAGTAAATAAACTACATGGTCCGTGCGGCAACTAATTTCAGATTTTATCTGAAATACTTCACCTGTAATGAAACTGGAAAATGTATCTGTTTTTTCAAGATTTACAGTATGGCAAGCTTTACAAGAGTTGCAACCTCTAAAGGAATTATTATCAACAGGTTTTCGATTAGCCTCAAGATTTTTTATAGCATAACTAGGTGCCAGAGTATTCTTAAAGTTCAGATTTTTTCTAAAAATAAGTTTAGGTTGATCCGGTAAAATAGGATTTAGTACAGGATCCTGTTGGAGAATCGACCAATGTTTCTGTAAACTCCTCCTAATTTTAGTATGGTTTATACAATACTGAGTTCTAAAGGCAGTTATATTCTCCTGATAGAGTTTGGCACGGGGCTTGTCCATCAGATAATTCCCCCTGTTGGTCTGTAGAGCTATACGAATTTCCCTATCAAGTGTATTCTTCTTATAACCTCTTTCCACCAATTTGTTCTTTATATGGTTGGATTGTGTTATAAAGTCCTGAACTTGTGAGCAATTCCTTCTCACCCTGGCAAATTGTCCCTTAGCTATCCCTCTAAGCCAGGGACGGTGATGGCAACTTTGCCGATGAACATACCCATTCCCATCACTTGGTTTAAAGAAACACTTTGTTTTAATCTGAAAATGTTCTTCCTTTTCATTATATTGGGGGCTAGATCTGCTATTATTTAATCTGCTATTATTTAATAGTAGATCTAGCCCCCAATATAATGAAAAGGAAGAACATTTTCAGGGGAGAACCCGAGGTCCAAAAGAGAAACCTATCACCAATTACTTTTACCCCAGGACCAATACTTGGGAACATCGAAATCGGTTTCTACCCCTACAAGTAGATTCTCCCAACAAGAGAACGAGAATGGAGGATTAGAGGATTTGGCACGTGGTTTGGCCATTGTGAAGGCTAAAGAAAGAGAGAAAGGTATTTTTAATATATCAGGTTTACCCATGTCGGATGATGAGATACAATTACTATCAAAAGGTATGAAATTTGCACCAAATAAAATGTCCAATGAATTTAATCTATATATTGATTTAAAAAAATATATTAGATCATTAACGTTGAAGAGACATTTTTTGTTACAATCCAATCAGATAATGATCCCAACTATAGATGAGGAAGAACTAAGAAGTAGAAAGTTTAGACCTAAATCACATTTTTATCCCACACAAAATAGGGGTCCATATTTAGAGATTTTTGAAAAATTAGTAGATAGAGAGTTTAAATCTATGGCCAAAAAACAGAATCTCAATAAGAGTAGGAATTTAACTAGGGAGGAAGACAAATGTTTAAAACAACTACAAAAGAGGGAAGATATTATAATCAAGGAAGCCGACAAGGGGGGGGGGGATTGTTATTATGTCTAGGAATTACTATCTGCAGGAAGCTTACAATATCTTCAGTGATATTGCAACCTACACTGCACTTACACGGGATCCGACTAAGGATTTCAATTTAGTTCTAAAAATTTTTTTAGAAGTAGCAAAAAATAAGGATATAATTTCACAGGCAAATTATGATTTTTTGTTTTGTAAAAATCCGAGAATTCCAATTTTTTATTTTATTCCAAAAATTCACAAATGTTTATTTAATCCCCCAGGTCGCCCCATAATTAGTGGGATAGATTCGTTATCAGCCAATCTTTCTGCATTTGTGGATTCATATCTACAAAAGTACGCTCAAGGCTCTCTCTCCTATATAAAAGACACAAAATCATTTTTACAAGAATTGGAAAATATTGAATGGCATTCTAACTATAGTTGGGCTACATTGGATGTATCATCCCTTTATACTATAATCAGTCATGAATTGGGACTAGAAGCTATCAACCATTTCATGATGGAAGATCGTAATTTATCTCAGGATATTAAAGAATTTATTTTATATTCAGTTAAATTTATTTTAGAACACAATTATTTTTTCTTTAATGATAAATTTTATTTACAAATCACGGGAACCGCCATGGGCACCAGGTTCGCCCCCAGTTATGCCAACTCCTACATGCGCAGATGGGAAGATTTAACAGTGTGGGTTGGTCATGACTGGAGGGAGAACCTGGTGCTCTGGCGGAGATATATCGATGATGTTATTATTATTTGGAAGGGGTCCTTTTCTTTATTTCAATCATTTGAGAATTATTTGAGTCAAAATGAATATAATCTAAAGTTTACCTCCACATGGAATCAAAAAGAAATAAATTTTTTGGATTTGTCTCTGATATGCGAGAATAATCAGATGAAAACAAAGTGTTTCTTTAAACCAAGTGATGGGAATGGGTATGTTCATCGGCAAAGTTGCCATCACCGTCCCTGGCTTAGAGGGATAGCTAAGGGACAATTTGCCAGGGTGAGAAGGAATTGCTCACAAGTTCAGGACTTTATAACACAATCCAACCATATAAAGAACAAATTGGTGGAAAGAGGTTATAAGAAGAATACACTTGATAGGGAAATTCGTATAGCTCTACAGACCGACAGGGGGAATTATCTGATGGACAAGCCCCGTGCCAAACCCTATCAGGAGAATATAACTGCCTTTAGAACTCAGTATTGTATAAACCATACTAAAATTAGGAGGAGTTTACAGAAACATTGGTCGATTCTCCAACAGGATCCTGTACTAAATCCTATTTTACCGGATCAACCTAAACTTATTTTTAGAAAAAATCTGAACTTTAAGAATACTCTGGCACCTAGTTATGCTATAAAAAATCTTGAGGCTAATCGAAAACCTGTTGATAATAATTCCTTTAGAGGTTGCAACTCTTGTAAAGCTTGCCATACTGTAAATCTTGAAAAAACAGATACATTTTCCAGTTTCATTACAGGTGAAGTATTTCAGATAAAATCTGAAATTAGTTGCCGCACGGACCATGTAGTTTATTTACTGCAGTGCCTGTGCGGCAAGCAATATGTAGGCAGGACAAAGAGGCTTTTGAAAGTACGATTTCTGGAACATATAAATAATATCAAAAAGAACTTGGCTACTCATTCTATTCCAGTACACTGCAATCAATGTCCATTATTTTTCTTCACCGGTTTAAAGTGTATTGGTATTGAAAGGGTATTAGCGGATTGGAGAGGGGGAGATAGGGTTAAAAAGTTGTCACAAAGAGAGACATACTGGATCCACAGGCTACAGACATTGGAGCCTGGTGGACTGAATGTGGATGTGGACTTAGTGTGTTTCCTATAAATGTATATCACTATTTATAATAGTCATTATATATATGGGTATTTTTGAGAAAGTTAATGATAAAATAAGCACAGAATTATAAAGGATGAATTAGGTTAATTAATAATAATAATATAATTAACAAATAAGACACCATTGAATTGATTATAAGAAGGATAACACATATGACAAATTAATATGTTTATTAAAAGTTAAAGGTTAATATTCTGATATTGAAATAATATGTCACAGAATTAGGGTATGAAGGATTAGTTTATAAAAGTTTCATATTATTAGATTATGAGTATATATAATATGTAACAAATTTTGTGATTTGCTAAGTATTGTGAAAATGGTGTAAAGTAAATATGTATATATTATGAGAAAATCCACTATGAATAGATTTGTGGTTAAGTTGTTGGACTATTTGTATATAATTTTATGGCTAGAGATTGCAGAATACTGATGGAACGCAAAAAAACCGAAGGTGGAACGCATGCCATTTCCGGATATACATGACTTCCGGGTTTACGAGTACAGTTGGAACGCATAGCACTTCCGGTTTTTGGAACGCACGGAAGTGCCGAAAATAACCGGAGAATTACAGAAATGATGAAGATCAACTGTGAACACCTGGGAATAAGATCTTCAACAGATGAAACTCATCTACACAGGACCAATGAGGGAGGACAGAGAGGCACATGTGATTAATTACATTTAGGGATTAGCCCTATTTAAAGGACTTGAGGGTGGAGGGATGTTAGGCTGTTTTTGTGATTGTACTGCATTGATTGTTATTTTAATATTGTGGTCCCTGAGGAAGTCCCATATTTTGTAGAAGGGACGAAACGCGTAGGACCTTTATTTGTATCTATTTTATATTTTTATACAATTAAAGCCGCTTTTTTCATATCTTCACCTGGAGTCCTGCATTTTGAGTGGAAGTGTCCAGGGGATTTCTCTAGCCCCCCATATCATCAGGGGTGGCACCATATATGCCTGAACTGTCCAATATCCTGTGAGTGCATTTTATATTGCGCAGTGTTAATATTGTAAAACTGTATTACACTATACCTCTTTTTATTTATCTTCATTTAGACAATCAGCCGGTTCCCTCGTTGTGTTTTGTATATTCTTGTGTTCAAGTTGATTGCTGGCTGGGAGCGATCTGAGGGAGGCTGCATTCACTAACCACTGATAAGTATCCTTGTATATAAGTGTGTGTATAAGGTGCATTTCTTTTTGGTATACTAACAGACATGCAAGTTTTACACGTTTAAAGCCACCCTCCAGTTTCGACCTTTTGGGTACAGGAGGGTGGCTTCCCATGGAGGCGCTGTGGGAGATGAGACACATGGAGGTGCTGGTGAAGGGGATAAAAACAAAGAGGGGTTGAGAAGATGACAGTGACACAGAGAGGGCTAAAAAGGAGACAGTGACATACATTGAGAAGCTGAGAAGGAGACCATGACACACACAAAGGTGCTGGGGAAGGGGACAGTGACACACAGTGGAGGTGGGGATGTGGACAGTGTCAATCAGAGGAGCTTGAGAAGGGGACAATGACACACAGAGGAGCTGGGGAACGACACAATGGCACACAGAGGGCCTGGGAAGAGGAAAAAATAACACACAGAGGAACTGAGGAATGGGACAATGACACACAAAGAGGCTGGGGAAAGGGACTCTAGCGGGGGGTGTACAACCAAGGGGGAAAATGGGGGAAAAGTTATACTAAAGGGTTTAAGATACACAAAAAGGTGTAAGACATTCAACAGATGGGTTAAGAAACACAAAAAGGGGTAAGCAATTCAAAAGGGGGTCTAAGAGACACACAGGTGAAGATTTTTTTATGGGTGGTGCAAAATGCTTCTTCGCCTTAGTAGTCAAAAATTATTGTAGAATAAAAATTGTCATACATCTAAAAGAAAATACACAAAGCAAGTTTAACATCAGTTTTTGTATCTGTCTATTTTCATGTGTGTCTGTGTTTGTATATGTCTGTGCATCTGTATGTGTGTCAGTGTTTGTTTCTGTGTATCTAGATGTGTGGCAGCATTTGTTTCTGTGTGTCTGTGCATCTGCATGTGTGTCAGTTTGTATCGCTTTGTCTGGGCATCTGTATGTGTGTCAGTGTGTGTATCAATTTAGATAATGGCAACTATTAAACTTTTGCATCACGTTTCTCAACCCTTTGCATGCCTGCGCTAATGACTCTGCTCATCCTCTTCACAACATTGTCAAAAAGGGGCAGAGCAAGGATGTCATTACAATTATGCTCCCCACCGGACACCCATTCTGTGTTTGTTCAATAAGCCATCATAAGTATCAGCTAAAATAAAATCTGCCTCTGGTATCATTTTTTTAATTCTATTTTAATACTTGGAATAAAAGAGATATGTTTACAGTATTTCTGCAGTGATATGCATTTACTCAGAGGTGGATTTCTAAGCAGGTGAGTTAGGTGGTCATCAAAGGTGTTGTGCTCACTGGCGCCTCATGGCCACCTAACTGGAGAATGGCCCTCTTGCTGGAGAAGACCCAGTGCATAGTTCCCT